ATTTCATTGAATACGACAGACAAGGTGCTTTTATTTAGTTTTTTTTATGCAATTTCTCATGCGATCTAATATTTTTTTTCTTTTCGACTGGTAAATTAACTTTCCGAATGTTCTTTTTATTCGAACGCTTTCGGCTATACATTTAGCCATTTTCAAGGATTAAATATTTTAACTGTTAAATAAGAAATAGTTTGTTGTATGTATGTTTTATAAAATGTTTTCATTTTTCAAAACACGGTCAATATATTGTGTCCATGTTCAAAGTTAATATTATTAAGTGTTGTTTTTTTTTGTTTTTATTAATAAGGCTTCCATTATTTTTAGCCTTTTTTTGCATGTAGATGATGCTATTATATTAGTGTTGTCAACAAGTATGTTACGAATAGTGTCCGGTAGGTTTCGATGAATATTTAATTGAGATCTAATTGAGCTATGGTCAGAAAGGTGTAGAGTGAGTCTGCGTGTCAAACATGTTGTAGTGTGGCCTATATAATTATTTACGAATTTAGATTGATCAGGAATATAATTCTGTAACGTGCATTTAAATTCGTAAATAATATTTTCCCTATTTAATTTTGTTCTAGGAGTTGAATTATTATTTTTAGCTATAAGGTTAGAGGTTTTAAATATATATATATGGAGAAAGAGAGAGAGAGAGAGAGAGAGAGAGACAGACAGACAGACAGACAGACAGACAGACAGAGATATAAATAGACTCAGATAGACAGACAGATAATCACCGTGGGATTGGAAGCATATGAGATAGATGCATATGATTTACGTATAGATTAATAAGAAGATTCTGATATATATATATATATATATATCCAGGTATGATGACAAATAATAAAGAACAATGCCAATGTTCGTAACATTTAATTTAAAAGGGGGATCAGTACAAAGTAGAGCAATATTATTTTTTTTAGGATATTACTCCCAAAACATTTTAAAATATAAATCAAATTATAATCGTTTTTTCGATACTGAAGCATTGTTTACATTCATATTTTTCAGGCGATTATAGATCTATATAAATAGATCACTCGCCAGTAAAAAATACGCATGTGAAACATTTTTGAAAAAAAAACAAAACAAACATAAAATTAATTTATATAAAGATATACATACATTTCAAAATGTCTCCCTATTTCTAAATCTCTCTCTCTCTCTCTCTTTTTTTTCTAAATCTTCTCTATAATCTATCTATCTATACTATATCATCTATTTTTGAGATAGAAAAAATTTAATAGACAGAAACGACGTCGAGATTGATAGAAAGAGTATAAGATAGGTAGATATATATCGTGTTTCTTTGTCATTGTAAAAATTTGATCGAAATATATATTAATCTATATTCATCAGTCTATGGACAAAAAAGATTATTTGATCGAGCTAAATAGCTAGATATAAACACGCTGAGATTTTTTGGCAGAGTTTTATATTTATATATATATATATATATATATATATATATATATATATATATATATATATATATATTTATATTCGAAAAAAAACCTATAAATGTTTCATTTATCATAAATTCACAAAAAAAAATTTTTTTCGTTTCGAAACTCATGGTTCACATGATAAGATATCAGAAGTCTTTGAAATTTTTGTTTTTGATTTTATAACATGTTTATGTTACAATTTTCGAATAAATTATATTTGCACTACTTTGTATTGAGCACTCTTTTAAGAATAGTATTTGCTGGTTATTGGAATTTATTCCGTATACATCGATTCTATACATGGGTATATATATATATATATATATATATATATATATATATATATTAAGATATGGACAAAGTCCGACAATTGATTTATTAAAGACATTTTTATGTTTAACGTTTTTTTTTATAGATACAAGTATTTAAGTAAATATTCTGTTTATAAAAAAAACAGTATTAAATAACATTTCCCGGCCCGAATGTCCGGAGAAATTTTCAGAGAAAATATTCGTCTTTTGACAGGATTCGAACCTGCATCCCATACGGAATAAACATTTATTTACGCTGACGTTTTTTAACCGACTCGGCCACAAAGGAGAGTTCGGTGGGCAAGGTCGAATATTTGCTGCTTATAAACTTCAATCTCCCATGAATCTCGTAGATTCATACTTTATCATGGCGTATCGAATGTAAACAAATGACGTCATATATTAAGAAATAAAAAGTCCGACAATTGATTTATTAAAGACATTTTTATGTTTAACGTTCTTTTTTATAGATACAAGTATTTTATAAATGCTCTGTTTTTAAAAAACAGTATTAAATAACATTTACCGGCCTGAACGTCCGATAAATTTTATATAGAAAACATTCGTCTTTTGACAGGATTCGATTTGCATCCTATACGGAAACGTCATTTACGCATTTTTGTTATAAACCGACTCGGCCACAAAGGAGCGTTATATTTTACTGCTTATAAAACTTCAATCTTCCGTGAATATATACATTCATTCATAACTGTTCTGGCGTATCAAATGTAAACAAATGACATCATATATTAAGAAATGGACAAAGTCCGACAATTGATTTATTAAAGAACATTAAGGCATTACTCCTGTCTTAATAATAAGTCTGGTAGGTTCGATGAAGTGTAACTTGCAGCGGACCTCAAAATTATCTACAATCTGTTGTTAATCGGGGAAAGGAGTGGCATGTTAATTTTAACGCTCCCAAAACGAAACTCCTCTCTTTTAATCATCTGAGATAATGCTTTTTATCATACATCAACACGGCTGATGCTAACCTCCAGGAGAATGATTCGTTGCCCTTTCTCGGAATAAAGGTTCCAGTCGACATGAAGTAGAAAGAATATATTGAATCAATTGATAAGTCTGCAGCTAATAAAGTCTGTTTCCTATGTCGGGCTAGACAATTCTTCTCGCCAGTATCTATCTTACATATTTATAAGTCTACTATTCGTTCTTGCTTTGAATATGGTTGTCAGATGTAATCGAAGAAAAATTTAGATATTCCTGATAAAAACAAATATAAAACAGTTTTTACACAATAAAAAAACAAAAACCAAAAAAAACTGCAGGTTTTGAAATGTATTGTCTGTCCTTTTTGTTCTAAGGATCGTTAGAATAGAAAAGATAGATAGATAGATAGATAGATAGATAGAGGGAGAAAGAGAGAGAGAGAGGAATGAGGGGACGAGAAGGAGAGTGTAAGGGTTGATAAGCAGTAAGGAACATAAAAACAAAACAAAACAAACAAGAAACAAATGAATTAATCTCATTTTTACATTTTTAGCTTTTCTGTTGATATTTTTTTTATATATATTCCTGTTTTCTGGATGATTTTATCTATCTATCTATCTATCTCTCTATCTATCTCTCTATATATATCTATGTCTTTTCATTATCTATCTATCTATCTATCTATCTCTACATTATCTATCTATATTTAAAATATTTCTGAAAATTATCATCCATCTATCTATCTATCTATGAATATCTATATCTATTTATCTCTATATATATCTAGATTTTTTTTCATTTATCCATATCATATATCTATCATCCATCCTTCCATCTATAAATATATATATATTTATGTTTTTTCATTATATATCCATAAACATCTATCTATCCATCTATTTAAATCCATTTATCCAATATAAATATATATATATCTATGTCTTTCATTAGAAATCCATATATCTATCCAATTATTTCATCCATCCATCAATATATATCTATATATATATATATATATCCATCTATCTATCTATCTATCTATCTATCTATCTATATATATATATATATGTTTTAAAATTATCTAAATCCATCTATCCATATATATCTATCTATCTATCTATCTATCTATATATATATATATGTATTTTCATATATCATCTATCTATCTATCTATCTATCTATTCATCTATCTATCTATCTATCTATCGAAAATATTAATATGTCTTTTCATTATCTATTATCTATCTATCTATCTATCTATCTATCGATCTATCATGGTCTTTTCATTATCTATCTGTCTATCTATCTTTATCGGTATTTTCATTATCTGTCTAGGTCTTTTTCATTATCTATGTATTTTATATATATATATATATATATATATATATATATATATATATATATATGTATTTGTGTGTGTGTGTATGGATATATATGGATAAATATCGCAGTGAAGCATAAATTTGGCGTTCACCATGTAGTATTGATCCATATGTCCACATTGTCATCATGTATTGCTTACGTAACCACACTCTCTCTATCCCTCTCTCTCTATCTCTCTCTATCTACCTATGTATCTATCTTTCCACACACTCACGGGCACTCGCTGACACATACACAAACAGAAAACAAATACACATAGACACAGACACACACATCTATTTATTGACATTTTATGTAACATAACTGTAGCGGATGACATAAAATTCATTGAGATTTAGGACAAAATATATATATATATATATATATATATATATATATATATATATATATATATATATATATATATATATATAATAAGAGAGAAAGTTGAAACAGAAACAAAAAGCGCTTTCTGTAATTTAGAGAACCAAACTGGCAGGAAAATTTTTCTCTGTACTTAAATCTCGATCGATAGATCTCTATTCATATCTATCTATCTATCTATCTATCTATCTATCTATCTATCTATCTATCTATCTCATTCTGTTGATCTCTCTCTCTCTCTCTCTCTCTCTCTCTCTATATATATATATATATATATATATATATATATATATATATATAAACAATTCTTGAAAACAAGTATTTCACTATTTGTATCTCTCTCTTGATTTCTTTTCTCTTGTTTTCTTTTGCACTTTCTTTTCTCTTTTTTCTCTTTCTCTTTCTTTTCTCTCTCTATATATATATATATAAATATATGTGTATGTGTGGGGGGGTCTATGACGGTGATGAAAAGATATTGAACTAACCAATATTTGACAAAAAAATTACTTATGATAATTGTGTATTCTGAATATATAATATGTATCTATCTATCTTTCTATCTGTCTATGTATCTTTGTTTTTTGTATCTATCTATCTCAGTCTGTTCTTATCTATCTATCTATCTATTTATCTATCTATCTATCTATCTATCTATCTATCTATCTATCTATCTCATCCCTATACTGAGTAAGAAAGAAAGTTGTGAAACAGAAACAAAAGCGAGCTGCTGTAATTTAGTGAACCAAATTGACAGGGAAATTTATATCCGTACTTAAATCTCGATCGATAGATCTCAGTCTATTCATATCTATCTATCTATCTATCTATCTATCTATCTATCTATCTATCTATCTCTCTATCTATCTAATAACACACGTATCTGTCTATCGTGTCATATCTATCTATCTCAGTCTATTCATATCTATCTATCTATCTATCTATCTATCTATCTATCTATCTATCTATCTAATAACACACGTATCTGTCTATCGTGTCATATCTATCTATCTATCTATCTATCTATCTATCTATCTATCTATCTATCTACCTACCTACGTAGTTAACTAGCTAGCTGTAGATCTGAAAAAAATCGGTTGTGATGGATGGACAGAATGAGTAATTATGATAGAAAGGCGGGTAAATGGAGGCAGGAGCTTAAAATGGCGGAAAAGATAATAAAAACGAGACTCGCGTGTTTAAATCTGCACAACAAAGCTACACGAAGAAATTAGAGTTTGTCAGGCGATCCTCCGGGGAAATATGGGACCTGCCATTCAAAAGAGACCGTAATATTATAAACCTTCGCACAAATAAAGCCAACACAAAAGGTAAAAACACTCTCCGCAATCATTGCAAATATTGCTTTCATTTTTTTTTATTGGGAATTTGAGAATATTTCTTCTTCGTTATTATCTCCTCTCTTTTCTTCTCCTTTTCTTTTTATATTGATTTCTCTTTTCTCTTTTTCTTCTTTTCCTTCTATATTTATTTTGCCTTTTCTTCTTTCATTTGGTTCTTCTTCTTTTTGTTCTTCTTCACTTTCTCTTCTACTTCTTTTTCCCCTTCTTCTTCTTTTTCTTCTTCTTCTTCTTCATTCTCTTGTTTTCCCCATCTTCTTCTTCTTCTTCTTCTTCTTCTTCTTCTTCTTCATTCTCTTCTTTTTCCCCTTCTTCTTCTTCTTCTTCTACATTTTCTTCTTTTCCCCTTCTTCTTCTTCATTCTCTTCTTTTCCTCCTCCTCCTTCTTCTTCTACATTCTCTTCTTTTTTCCTTTCTTCTTCTTCCACATTCCATCTACTTCTTCCCCTTCGTTTTCTTCTTCTTTTTCTTCTTCTTCTTTTTCTTATTCTTCTTTTTTTCTATTTTTATTTTATTTTTCTTCACAATTCCATTTTTCGTTTTTACATTTTCACAATCATTTTTTGTCAGTATTCGCATTTCTTTCTTTCTTTCTTTCTTTCTTTCTTTCTTTCTTTCTTTCTTTACCTGTGTATGTGTGTGTGACTTTTTCCGTGTCTTTCTCTTTCACTATGATTTCTTTTCATTCTTTCTTCTTTCCCTAATAATTGTTGTTTCTTTTTAAATTTTTCTTTTCTTTTCTTCTTTCTTTATTTCTTTCAGTTTTTTCTTTCAGTATACTTTTTATCTTTTAATTTTCTTGCATATTTTTTATCTTTCTTATTTTTACATTTTCTCTTTGTTTCTTTGCTTCCATTTTCTTTCTTTCTTTTTTATGCTTTTTATCTTTTAATTTTTTTTCCTATTTGTTTATCTTTTTTATTTTTGCAGTTTCTTTCTTTCTTTCTTCCTTCCTTTCTTTCTTTCTTTCTTTCAATTTGTTGTAATGTGTCTATTACTTAGCTGAGTTCAATCACATTTAGAGTAGGTTCAGCTACAGAATACTACTGTATTTTCTCAGACGACTACTAAATACGGCTTCTGCCGTCTCTGTATTTACGCAAGATCTCCCCACGAGGCAGGATGTGGCACAAGGCCGGTTATTTAACTTGGGGCGATTCCGAGCCAATAGGCTCGGGCAAAAATTGCCCGTAAACCCCGTATATACTGAATCGGGTAGCTGTCTATCGTCTCAGAAGAGACTCGGTCTCTCGGCATAGCATCGTCTGGGTTCCTCTCTATCCGGAGGCAGAGAGTTCGACAAGCAGAGAATTAAGAAACATAGAAGTTTTGCTGTCTTGATATTTACCCAAGACCTGCTCACAAGGCAGTATGTGGAACAAGGCCGTTTTTAACGTGGGGCGATTACTTGCCCGTAGGTTGGGGCAAAAATTGCCGTAGACCCCGTATACACTGGGTTGGGTAGCTGCCTACCTTCAGACAAAACTCTGCCCTTCGGCATAACCTCGCCTGGGTCCCTCTCTGTCCAGAGACAGAAAAGTCGACAAGCAGAGTATCAGCAAACAGAGAGTTTTTGCTGTCATCTCTTGACCCACGTTCCGTTCTCACATTTATAGAGCTGCGGGTGTTCACCTCGTAGATCGGGATATAATATCCACATCCCTGTAAAAATGTCTTGCTTTTTGTTTACATAGTCGCACCAATAATAATGTCTGACCTCATTTTTTTTTATATTTCCTTGATCTTAATTGATTTATATCCTTCTTCAGTAGGCCATTTTTCCTTAATCAAATACACCACCTTGCTCATGCGCTTATAGATCCTTCCCTGTCCTCATTTTTGTTTAACTACTTGGTAAACTGGAAATAATACTCGTTCGCCATTTTTTAAAAAAATGTTATTTTATTTATACGTGTACTCGTCGGTAACAGATTAACAAATACTGGCTGTATTTTCCGATTAAACATTTTTTCTACAGGCTAATTACTATCAAGTGTGTTTGGGTTTGGAGTTTGCCTATAAACGGTCAAAAACTGTTGAAGCGACTATTCCAACTATTCTCTTCACCATTGAGTTCTTCAAAGCTATTTTAAAAGTACAGTAGAATTCCTCATATCCGGAGTGCCTTATATCCGGAATCCCTCATATCCGGAGTGCCTCATATCCGGAATCCCGCATATCCGGACATGGTTTTGATGTGTATATTTGAACTATTTGGATGATATATTTGATTTGAAATTTCTGTTTTTCAGGAAATTTACTTTGAATAATTGCTTCTGATTATTTCACCCTAATGGCTTGTATTAGTGCAAAAGATGATGGGAATAAGAGGAAAGGATGACAACGAGACACATCTGCTACAAGAATAATAATTTCCCGAGGCGCAGTATAAAGTTCCCTTTTTCCTTCTCCACCTTGTCGATTAGCCTGCATAATGGACTGCATGCAATGGTTTCCAAGTCAACCTTCGCCACTGTTAATATTATTAAATAGCGCCAGCTATTAATTGGTCTTGCGTCATCCATATGTAACCTGGACCATCTTTCGTTTTTGGCCAAGGTTGGATTTTTACTGGTGGTGATTTAGCTGCCAGCGCACAGTCTTGGCAAGAATTCACTAGATCTTTGACGTCCTTTCCAGAATACGTAACTTTGCATCAACGCATTCATGCGAGGTACCCCAGGGTGTTCGCCTGGAACAGTTTCAATATTTGTTTTGTTTTTTGTAAAGACTCTAGTATTACTACTCGTTCCACATACATTAAGCATCCATCTCATATGAAAAATGACTTTTCCTTACTACCGCAGATATTTAATTCAGTTGTTTTTTCTTTTTTTTTATCACTCCTCAGATATTCACTCATTTTAATAATACTCTTCGGGGATTCAATTTTAATATCCTCTTTCGTAACTGACAACATTCTTTATGCCATAGAGCATATTTTATTTATTTCCCAGCTTTTATCGCGGCAATGACGATATCTTCAGTAAACCCCCTCACATTTAGGTATTAATCTCGAAAGACTATACGCATAACCCATTTCTTTCGATGGTAAATATTCAACAGTGAAGTATATCCTAGAAACATCGCAGCCCATTATTGTAGGCGGTTTGCCGAATGTACGGTAATGCCTTTTTTTCAAGCCGAATATTCCCATACGTGGTTTATGGTCGGTTTTTAGTACAAACTTTCTACTGTGTAACATCCTGTGGTATGTTTTTATTGAAAAACTAGCAGCATGGCCCAGCGTTGCCCGTGCTTGATTCAAAAATCGTACGACTCATACAGCAATCGCTATCACTTGACTTAGAATATTTTTGCCCTTCTTTGCCTTTAAAGGAGTGCCCTTTGCCGTGCTGATGTTGCTACATACCTTACTTCTTACCTATCTCACACTGCGAATTTTTTCTAAGCTCTAAACTAAACATTAAATCTGTTACGAAAAAAAAACTAAACAAAATGAACACAAAACGATCAGCTTTAAAAAAGGACTCGTAACTGGAAAAAAAACAAATGAAAAAAGATTGTTAACAACAAATACTTTTTCACACTTAACCCAGTTCTGCGGAATCAGAATCAACGTTGAGTTTAAGCAAGCGAATGAGCCAATTGGAGTAAAGTGCCATGCAGATTTAAATTTTTCCCGCTTGTGACGAATGCAGCTATCGATTTTTTTGCATGCGAGCATGCTAGTTAACATTCATGTCAGTCAGCTGTTGGCTCTCACGCTGGCCAATAGAATCTTCCTGCCTATTCGTGGCAGCCAGCTATGGGCTCTCACTCTGGCCAGTAGAAAATGGCCGCAAACTACATGAAAAGTGCCGTTGAAGCATGAAAAAATCGGTTATTTCCACTATCGATGGAAGTTGGGAAATGCAATGTCGGTCTTGGCCTTCCAGTATATGCATGTAAATTTTGGTGCAAATCCGTCGAAAATTGCGGCCGTGCATTCGTTACACACACACACACACACACACACACACACACACACACACACACACACACACACGTGCTGCCTTTTATAGATAGAGATAAATGCTTCTTTTTCAATTTGGCTATAATTTCTTTTCTCTAGTAACAGAGTCCTTGACACATGAGTAGCAGCAGTTTTTTGTTTTTCCTCCTATTTGTGTGTAATATTACGCTTCGCTATCGTATCCACTAGCATCATCAGCAGCAGATATTAATTTTAATGAATGGAAAAAATTCGCCAGTGCAAATTAAGTTAATATTTTTAAAAACATTTTAAATGTTTTTTGGTCGACCAATTCCATTATTTACAGTAGCGAGCACAAAGATCAGAACAATGTAAAGAAAAAGTCTAAATGTAAAATAACTTTTTATTTTGAAGCTTCGTGAAACATTTTATCAAGAAAAAATAAAGATATAAAAGTAAATTATATAATTCCAGAATATAAAGCTCAATAAACTTATTTTGATAAAATTATAAGAATAATTATATAACACTCGAAAAAAAAAATAGATGATCAAAAACATCAGATCGATTAAATAAATCCATAAAATTTAATAATTATTTTGCATTATTGAAAATGTTTTAGGGTAAGAATATAAAATAAGGTATTTTACTAAATTACACCGGCTCATCCCTGGCTCTTGCAATATAAACATGGCGAAAAAATCTGTGACGTCATTGGAATTTAGAAAACTGATAGTGAAGTTACGTAATGAAGATAAACTCTCGATTGGGGATAATTCAATATTTCCTGGATAAAATCTTCTTAGATGCTTTAAAATAAAATGTCATTTCACATTTAGTCCTTTTCTTAACATCGTTCTGATCTTTATGCACACTGCTGTATATTTTTTTAGTATTCTATTCAGTGGAACTTTTGGTATATACCGACTATAATAATTCACCATTGCTAAAAATAATTGAAATGCAGAAATATTTGAAAGATTCTGCATATTCTTTATGGCCCACATTTTTGCAGGATCTGGTATACAACCATTTTTATCAATAATGTGGCCTAAATATTTAACTTGTGACATAAATAATTCGTCGAACCCTCTTGCTACTTACCTTCTGTGATCGTCTACCATTTTGCCTCGAATCATAATATCATCCAAGAAACCAACTAAAAGATCGACATCAACCGGCATAGTATCGTTAATTTCCTAGAAAATTGCCGGAACGACTTTTTCACCAAACGGTAGTCTTTTAAAAACTTTATGCGTATTAACGGTAAGAAATTCCTTATTTATTCCTTCCATTTCAACTTCAATGTCCGCATACGACAAATCTCTTTTAAAGGATATAGCTCCCCGTTTAATTTTGTAAATACTTCTTTGGCCGTTGATAACGGATAATTATGGACGTGTAGGGTCCCCGTAGAAAAAATATGTACACATTCGTGTTTTACCAGTATTATTTTTTCTTTTTTGATAATTACAATGTGCGCTGACCAACTTGAAAAGACGACAGGTGAAATGACTCCCATATTTTATAGTCTGTATAGTTCCTTGTTCACTGTCTCGATGACATCAAAGGGGACAGATCTTTTTGGTTTAAAAGTTGATCTCACATTTTCTTTTACCTGTAAAGATGTCATTATTTTAGCGCAGAGGCCCGATTCTTTTGTAAACAAGTCTTTATACTCGAGATTTATTGCGTTATCATACAGCAATTGTATCACAAGTCCAAATGGTTATTTTATAAGCTTAGCTTTGATGTGGCACAAGGCCGAAAGTATGGGGGCACCTAGTGAAGATCGAACTCATTTTCCAGTTGTAACTGATCTAGCGAGACAAGCTTGCTAACCATTACACCACGCCGAGGTGCCCTTTTATAAGCTGTCATAGATCCTCATCTGGTATTAATATTGTGATGGGGGACACAACCAACACCAGGCTAAGATCCATGTATTCTGCACGATACTTCGTTTATATCTTATATTCCCCATATAACCTTCCGTTATGGGATTACTGAATAAATATTAGGGTGATTTCCCTTACATCATTAAATCATCAGCAGATAATATAAA